AGACAAATAAAAAGTATGGACATAGAAAAATTAATGTCTCCAGTGTTCGAAAATCGCTGCCTGTGGGATTTGAAGGATAAGAATTATCGCAATCGCGATCTGTGCCAAATGAAGTAGGAAAAGATCAGCGAAGAAATAGGCACTGATGCGAGACGATTGATTTTACGTCTACGTGTCACTTTCGAATCAAACATTATCGTTTGTATGTTTATTATTGTTCGAAATTGAACAGCTGATGAACTGTTTCTCACTGTAAATGATACATTAAGTGATTTATTTTAAGAAACATTCACCTAATTTCATTTGTAACTTCTATGTCATAGGTTACAAACATTTAACCGTAAATCACGCACAAAATAATAGACGAATAACCACGATGCAAGTTAAATAAATATTCTACTATCTGAATGTACCTACTACTTCGTGTACACAAGTAAATCAACGGAAATTCGAGCATTCAGTAATTTTTCACAGTTCCCGGGCAAGAGCTGAATTACCGCTCTGAACTCCGTTATAATTACACCGTTTGTCTCCTCGTTGTCGCGATTACCGCCGCTCGGTATACACCGCCTGCGGATGATTAAATACGCGAACAATTATTGCCGGATAATCGTAATCAGGGAAAATATATCGCACGCGATATTCGTTTCCATTAATAACGCGCCACGGAGCACGCTCGTGCGAACGTTGAACAGGTTTTTCCGAGAAAATCTGTCCGTGGCCACCAGCACAGCCTCAGCGCGCGCGGCAACGCGTCGACACACATTCGAGCCTGTATTTTGAAAGGAATTTTAAACTGCGCATGCAACATTACCAATTTTCTCAGCGTTTCTTTTTGCTCCGCGGAGCTAGCGGTCAAATGAGCGGTTTAATTAATTGGAACGAGCCGAACGGTTGGGCAAGCGGCCACGATCGGTCGGACAACGATCGTCGCCGATGACTCGGCGATTCCTGGCGGGCCGAGTTAATCGACTCCGATCGTCCGCGACAAAAAGTGGTCGGGCACAGGCACGCCGAAACCGAAAGACGCCCTGCCGGTCGGTCCCGAGTGGAAAGTTCGGTTTCAAGGTCCGCTGGTGCTATAAAAATCTGACGCAAAGCCCGCGCCGATGAGCCATTTAGAAGCTGAACGGAGAGTTTCGCAATAGGATGAGCCGTTCGGGCGGGACGAAACGGAAACGCGGACTGCAGGGCTGTTCTGACGTTGGACGGGACCTTGATAGAATCTGGAACCGAGGCGAGCCGCTATCGCATAATTTTTCTGCTCGATTCGGTGCATTGTGCGCCCTACATAGCGTTCATAACGCGAGCTTTAAGAATAGCTGCCGCGGCCTTCGAAGGTAGCAAGGGTAAACTCTCTAAAGGGAAACAAGGATTCGCCCGTTAAACCGAGCCTTGTGCTCAGTGTCGAACTGCTCGACATTTTAACCCTTTGAACTCTGTAGGCTCCAATATTGCGCCAGGAATAATATTAAATGTTTTAATGAATCTTAAAGAAACTACCGTATAAATTTTTCGATGTTATAAACTTCCACAGTTCATCCGATGTGCATTGGTATTTTTAAAAAGGAGAAGTGGCAAGTCATGAACAGACATATTAGGAATTTCCAAATGCCATCATCTCGACAGCGAAGTGTCCACGAAACAGTTATTCTGAAATTATTCTAACTTTAACCCTTTGAACTCTGTAGGCTCCGGTATTGCACCAGGAATAATATTAGATATTTTAATGAATCTTACAGAAACTACCCTAAACTTATTAGATTTTCCACGCATCCAAATTTTGCACTAAGGACAGTAAAAGATTCGTACGGCACACGTGTACATTGTAAATAGCGATACATGATTCTGGACCAGATTTCGCAAAGCATCGAGGCACGCACTGACGGCAGTTTACGAGCGAATTGCTGATGAACAAATACGATCATTTATGTACGGGCGGTAGAGTGTGACTGAATTAGGCCTCGAGGAGTGCGTGGATAGGTCAGAGTGGCTAAGTGGCGGCTGTCGGCTCGCGTGCTCGTGTTTGCGAGGGTCGGTCGTGTCTAAGGGCGGTCAGTGTGTCGTGGTGGAGGTGTGTTGTGTGAAATGGAACCCGGCAGAGTAAAACGGGTTGAGGGAACATCGAGAGCCCTGGGCATTTCAAGAGAGCTCCTTCCTATAGAGTGCACAACACTGGGGGCGCGAAGATAGTTGCAGCCAGTGAACGACGCGTCTGCGATCGATCATCGTCATTTTCTTTCTTTTAGATCGTAATATTCTAATCCTGAAACATCGCGATTCTATTCTTTTTATTACTGAATCGTTTATTATTAGGTCTATCCGTTATTAACCCTTCGCGACGGAATGTCACTTTGAGATGAAATGTTCGTTTCAATTAGTTAACGAGAGAGCACGCGGTTTTCTTGCTTTTATATTAATTAACCAATTGACGGCAATACGCAGAAATTAATCGAATCGTGAATCGAGTAAACTTTCAATAGGAGTCTCGGAGTTTCTACAGAGGTATTTCAGAAAGTCGGCCGAATTGCTAGGTAGGTTTAGTGTTAAATTCCCCGTTTATTTGCAATGTTTCTTCACGAAGGTTCGCTACTTCAGCAATCGAGGAACGATTATTAGACGACCTTGTATGCTCGTTATAACGTGTGCACCATAAAAGAACGCTGGGACGTAAAGCAACCGAGACGCTGAAGGGGATCTCGTATAATTTCTTCGGTTAATTGTTGCTTAGGCGGTACGCGAATATATGCCTCGGTTACCGTGATTGAGCGGCTCGTAAACGTCTGTTTATGTGCTCGGGTTAAGTGATTCATAAGAACCGCCATTGAAAAACGAGCCTTATGAATATCGTTGAAAATACTTTCTTCCTGGCCGCGCATATCTTTCGAGGATTTTACGGTTACAAAGTCGACAATTGCATTGACATTTGACGTTTCCGATGCGCTCGACGCGGAGGAAAACAAGTCGTTAATAAAACGAACGTTAAGAAACGACTTCCTAATTGTTTGCACGGAAAAACGCGTGACGAAGTAAACGAGATCGTTCCGCAACCGATCGTGATGCAGCGAAGTCGCAAAATTGAATATTCCGTATGAAATTTCACATGAGCCATTAACATAATGCTTCCTTGTGTGTCGGTATTGGAAAACATCGTTAATCATTGGAAAGTGTTGAATATTTATCGAGAGACATTTTTCGGAGTGCAAAGGATTGTTATCCCGTTCCGTGCAACGAAAGGAGAGACCGAAGCGCAGCCGATATTCCGCGGTGTTAGAATTTCCTGCGTCGAGCGAGCCTCGCGCAGTCTACTTTCGTTATCGTCATTGTCGCTAGATCGATGGAAAGTAATTATAATCGTTGACACACTTCAAAGGCGATTCCTTGAAGTAACAGCGTACTTCGCGCTCTTTTCCTTTTTTAATTTCATGGCCAGCCTCGATATATCTCGCGCGGATATAATAAGATTCTTATGGATAAGCCATGGAAGAAACGTTGTTGCAGCTTGCCATGCGATCCAGAACCACGAAGGATACATTTCATATGAATCCGGTTCCCATCTGTGCGCACTTTCCAGCCCTATCTTGATTAAATTCATTGATTTCACATAAACGCCCGCTACGCGATAGCGGAGCACGCCTACCGGACCGCGGACGGAAAAACTGAACCGCATTCCGAGAGATTGCGGAGGGTATATTCCTGAAAGATTTCGCGCCACCGATAGTTCGCTTCCTCAATCGTGTCAACCATTACAACGGAGACTTAATGGACGGTAAAAGTGACGGAGGATGCGTTTCACGTACACTCAACGTACAGTGTGTCCCGGCAATCATGCGGTGAAAGAAAGGCTAACGCATTCCGTCATTATTTTAGACAAATCAAATCGAACCTCTACCAAAAAAACCAAAGGCGTCATTTAACTCGCCCCTTTATATCGAACTGAACTCGATTACGTTAACTCCAATACAAAACTCGTATCTTGAATTCCGTCGGAAGAAAATATTTACAAAGCTTCGAAAACATCTAAATAACTACCAAATCGCGATTACGAAAATTTGAATATTCCATCTAAAAACATGTACCAAGATTGAAATACCCAATTATTCACGAAAGCTACGAAATAAAAACCTGAATACTCCCAGCATCCTTTAACCCTTTGCACGAAGATTCTTCGAAATGACGAAACCTTCAACGGACGAAGCTAAATTATCTACCAATTGCATAATCAATAGAAAAAAAAAGAAACTTCGCGCTGGCTTCTTGTTATTCGTCCGCAAAGGGTTAACCCTTTGAACTCTGTAGGCTCCAATATTGCAGCAGTTATAATATTAGATACTTGAATGGATCTTAAAGAAACTACCCTAAAATCCTTCGATTTTCCACACATCCAAATTTCGTACTAACAAGGAAAATAAAAGATCGAAGGAATGTTACAGCATTTCTAATTTTCACTGGGAATACTATAAAAATTAGCAGTTGCCGATAGATTACAAAACAACCTGGAGTGCTAAGGGTTAACCCTTCACCAGAAACATTCGACACTTTCCTGTGAGACGTAAATGACATTATTTCAAACGAACTAATGAGAAACAAAGCTATTTTATAGAAATAATTCGCATGTTGATTATACGGAACTTAATATTACATATAACACTTTGTAATTTCATGTCGAATCAAATGACTGAGAGTCACCTCTCGAGTGCAAAGGGTTAAAGAGGTTCCCTGAAAAAGATCCTCCAGGCGAGGCTTACGAGGAACGCAGCCTTCCAATAAGAATCTCCTAGTCACTGCTCACGGGTCCACCCGGTACGTAAAATAAATCTGATCAGATTACTGGCGGAGCGGAGAGGCGAGGCCGGGATCGGGCACGGGCGCAGGACGTCCGAGCAGACAGGCTAGGCGGGTAATGCGGCAGCGTGTCCGCGCGATGCTGCCACCTGGGCGGAGGAACGTGGAAAGATTGGCTGGCAGCTCGCAGGCGCATTTCCCGGTGCATTCTCTGGTTCGAGGCTGATCTCGAGCGTCGCGTCATTCCTTCCCCGCGGTCCGTTCACGGTAGTACCGTTTCTTTCTTCTCTCTCCGCGCACCCTCTTCTCGCCACGATCCCTGCTCGGTAGTGGCTCCAGCGGCGGAGCGGACGCGCGGCTCGGGACCGAGCGGCGGCAGAGCTCGGCACTGCAACAGTTAGCTCCCTTTTATTTCCCCTTTGACCCCGTGCCCCGTGCCCGTTCCACGGGAGCGTCGTTCACCAGGCTCCTCTTCGTCTCGGCCAGTTCGCGCGGCGCCGCTCGCTCCGCTGGTTCGCGTCGGTTCTCCACTTCCGCCAGCTGACCGATAAGCGCACCACTGTCAGGGTCGAAGAAAGAAGAAGGTCGACAGCTGTTCCGTGACCGTCGATTATCCGCACGCTCGAACCGGCCCGGCCCGGCTCGGCTCGGTCCGGCCCCCTTCTTCGACTCGCTCGCCGGACTAGACCAGCACGAGCCAGACACTCGGCCCCGGAAGCCACCACGGTCCCTCCAGCTACCGACCATGTCGCTGATCGCCGGCTGCTTCCGAAGACTCACCGAGGCACCGGTCAGAACTGAGGTAAACAAAGAATGCGCTGTGAACAATGGCTGGCAGCGTTGCGTTTTTCCTTTAGTTGGCTGGAGTATGGTTTGTCTTAACAGTTTCTAACGCGTTTTTTAACCGCTTCGTTCAGAGGACCGTTGATTTATATTTATGATCTTTTTCGATAAAGCTGACGCGTTGAATGAATTTTTAACGTTTCTTATTGTTTTTCGTTTTTCATCTTTCGTGTTGGAGTTTATTAACTGTTTGGTATGGATGGTCTTCGACTGTTGTCTAGTTAGAGGAAGTTGTGTTTTCAAGCAACTTCCGGGCGTGAACCGCGGCTATCAATGGGTTAGTTTCTTTGGAAGATTATTGCGAAAGAAATTACATCGCGTTATTCTGTATTACCGTCGTTGAAGAGTTCATTAGCGGATCCTCGGTTCTTAAAGACTAATCTCGAGTAAAGTGCTCAATGATGATAGGTGAAGTGTTGACATTACGACCGCCGCGGTGGTTATAAACGGTGACATAAATCTTCCTGCGGGCTTAAACGGTCGGTCGTACGGTCGTTGCGCGGAATGAATTTGACTTGGAACTGCGAAATACGAGAGGATTGCGAGCTTGATCCTTCCGCGCGTTATGATTAAGCATCGTGCTGCGAGAAATCAGAGAGTCTTTTGCCTGTCGGAAGCGAATCGCGATGACTCGCTGACGCCGAGGTCGCGAGCCGGCCAGCTGCGGACTGTGGGAATTATCGAGACAAGGAACTTCCTTGCCGCTTGTCTTACGGCTTTCTCGCGGCTTATCTCAGCTTGTTTTGTCATCAACGCTTGACTACCGCGTCGGTCGTATGCAGCGTGATCGCGTTTAAACGTGGATGAACCATTGTCTTAACGTTTCATCTCTTGAAAACACTTTGAAACTTTTCATCGCGACAAATAAATTGTACCTAGATCTTTTACTAATTCACTGATTTCAATGAATTTTAAGTTTCGATGAACTGTATACTTTTGGAACATCGTCGATTGCTTTATTATTTTGGATAGCGTTTGTTCGTGAATAACGGTGTTATATCGTGAATCAATGACTATTCAGGCTGTTCTAAATTACTTTTCAAAATCTGTTGAATAAATTGAGAATTATCGATAGTGTATGATTCACTTTTTCATCGTAGAATATGAGTGCCTGGAATTCTTTAGCTGCTCCTCCCGTTCGTTTTTCATCAGAATTTTATCGGAATAAATGCAAAACAAAGTGTCCAGACCAGTTGAAAAGTCGCCGCAAAATAGGGGAAGTATAAATACATAAAGATCCGCAGTCTATTGATCTGCGATACCATTCGCCGTGCTCTCCAATCAAAAGCTGAGCTATCGACAGACCCGTGCCGCGATCGCCTTCAAACTTTTCCTTTCAATCACCTCGCTTGTATGCACGCTCCTAGAGGAAGTCGCCCCAAGACGTATGTTCCCCATATCGGGGTATCGCGATTTAGAGGCTGACGCGTGTCAATATTTGACAGCAGATTTCGGCACTTTCGCATTGTGGGAAAATTTATTCGATGTATTTCTCCTCTCGAATTTGAAATACAAGCTCGACGTCCCGAGTTCCAATTGGAAAGAACGAAACCGAACTTCTAGAACTGGAACTACCGAGCATTTAACCCTTTGCACTCGAAAGTTTCTCACTTGAAACGTTCAACACTTTCTAACTAGATGTAGGCGAGATTCTTTAAAATGAGTTTATTAAGAAATCACACATGAATTAGGGAACTGAAGCTATTTTCTTTCAATATTTCACATATTGATGCAGTATACAAAGGTTAAAGGTAAACACTAAGGTTTATAAAGTATTAAACTTGCATCTCAACGACCATTTAAAAAACTTACAATGTTCTCGAGTACGTAAGTCAGAGTTGAAGTTCGAAGTGGCTTCTTTCGAGGGTTCCAATGGAAAATAAAATCGCGATACTAGTGCAGCTATTATAAAAAAATGGTGTATCGTTGCTTTGAACTGCAAACTACGAGTAAATTCAAGTTTCTAATACATTTAACACTGGGTTTACAGACATTTATTGCACACTTCATATTACTCCTAAAAGAATTGATGCTCGTTTATTTAGATTGTGGAAAATGGAGATTTGATAGTAGGTAAACATTTAGAAAATAATATTTCTAAAATCCAATACGCGTCAATTTAATGCGTTCCGTAAATCTAGCGTTAAAAATACAGCGATGCGAACGTGCCCGTAGTTTGAAAAGGGTTAGACTTCCAACGATAGTTCCGCTCGCTGACAGTTCCATTACACTCGCCGTTCGGTCATTGTCAAAGAAACATTTGTTCCGGGCGATGACGAAGATCCTCCTCGACAGCAGAACGAATTACGGTCGCGCGAGTTCGAGCGACAGAGACGCCCGCGAAAATACCATTTCGGTATTAAGATATCGGAACGACACTCGAGCCGTAAGCTGTTCCTCGAGATATGGGGATTCGTTAACACGTCGACTGACACGAGCATCTTGAGCGCTTCGTATCGCTCATTCTTCCGCGGAGATAAACAGCGACATTAATTATTCGGCATTACGGCTCTCGCGTTCTTCTGGCTGGCCACTTAAGCCGCCAAATATTTTTCGATATCAATCATCTCGAACATTGTAATTATTTCCAATTCGGAAGCACCGGTCGTCGATGGCCATCGACGAGCGATCGACGAGCTAAAAAAAACAAGCCTGTAATCACGTAGGCGACTGGTCGGGCGACTCAACGAAAGTAATCGAAACTCGAAGTTCGAGGTCACGCGTGTGGACTTTGTAAGGACGAGCCGGGTCTCGTGTCGCTTTAGTCATCGTTCGAGAAAGAGGAGATTGCATCACGGGAACCGGAAGGTCAGAGCGATCCCGCGGACCTCGAGTGTAATTATCGTCCGCGTAATTCTCGTGGCTACGATTTAGCGGTGAGCTTTTATCATCGCTCCGCGAAACACGCAGCATCCTTTCCCATTGCGTCCGGCCATTAATTCCATTTCTTCCGAGATACGTCTTCGGCAACCTTTCTCCGCGTTTAAACGCGCTCCGCGTCCTTTCATACTCGAACGTTTCCGCGAACCGTTTTTCTCTCCTACGTTTTCGTTTCTTCTTCCCCTCTCCGTGTCCTCTCAACCGCGTTTTCCCTTTTTCCTCTCCTCGCTGCTTTCCCCCGGAGGCGCATTGCATTTGATTGTGCTCTCCAGCATTCAAGTTCGCATTTACGGTACTCGTGCACTCAACAAATTCGTTAGTTCAGCGAATTAACATTGAGACCGTCCTCCCGACTGCAGCGCGATGTTCATCGCGCGTAATCGCTTTGTCTTTCCCCTTTGTTCTTGCGAGTGCGTATCGATTTTATTTTTCATTCGCGGTAAGGTGATTTAACCGTTTAACTACGACGCGCGCGTAATGAGAGGGTGAATTCTCGTTTTACGAATTAATTCCCTGTACGAGGGAAACAGTTATTTTCGCGGGCACTCTTCTACACGGGGAACCAGAAAAACCGCGGCGCGGAGCAGAGGAAGTAAATGAATGTTTAATTTAGTCGGACCAGGAATCACTCGTCCTCGCTCTTTCGTCGATGTATCGCGTCGCGTGCACTGCTACTCGCGTGCGTTCGCTTTGACATCGAATCTATGCGAATCTCCTTTGCACCGAATGCTCCTCGCGAGCTCTAGACGAATCGGTCGAGCGATAAACCGTGCATCTAGGCTACGGAAGTTATTTAAATTTGATCATTTCGTTCGGTCGAATCAAATGATTGAAAGGCGCCGCTCGAGTGCAAAGGGTTAACTGTCCCCAGTTTCGTGGCTCAACTCGAGTAATATAATCAGAGCAGTTATTATTTCCCATTTAGACGTCGCGGAGACAAGGGCTTATCTCGCGAGCAGGCGAGAAACGTGTTTCACCAACAGAATTCCAGTCGACTCGACTCGACTCGACCAGACGCAACGCGACGTGCGACGCCCAATCCCTGATGTTTGGTTTGCCGAGTGACCACGATTAAATGTCGCTCGCCCAATGCGATGTGGGTCAGTCGGAGAAACTGTGACACGCGGCTTTTCGCTCGCCGGGACCTTGAACACTATCGGGCCAATTATGCGCTCGCTAATCTACCTTCGATCCCAGTCGCTTCGTGACTTCGCTTATCGAGTCACGCGGGACCAGTCCCGCGGCGGGGCTCGTCGGAATTTCCTCGATTTCGTTAAGCCCTCCCTCGTTACGCTAATGGATCCCCCCGGTTGGTCCCGGGTCCTGTGGAAGTCGGTCTCCCGTGTTTGTCCCGTCGCTGCGACTCTCATATTTCCCTTCGCGAATCTCCGTTAACGAATTTCGCTCAAGGGAGTCGGCAGATACTTAGATCGCCCGTCGTCGGAAACGTTTTATCTGGTCGCTCGGATCGCTTTTAACCAGTTAAGTGTGTTTGACGAGTATACGCGTCGTCTTAAAACTCTTAATGGTGCTAACTTCTTCAACGACGGATTATTTATTTTTCGAGACAAACATGTAACTCATTTTAAGTGCATTTGCCTTGCATTTAACCAGTATACACTTCATTATTTGATTTTAATGCACGCGCAATGAGATTTTTCAAACTAAGTTCCACACTTAACTGGTTAAAAGCGAACGTTGAATACAGGAGCGATCAACGGAGTCTTCAGTTTCACAGTGATTCAGTTGGAAATGATAAATAATTGTAATCAGAATCGTAATTGTATCAATTCCATTGAATTCATCGTTTCGTTGAGCACGGAATTTCGAGATATTCATTTTTACCGAGCATTACCGGCGAGTACATAAAACCTGCGGATACTCGGGCGAACTCTTGGTTCTTTTGTGGATGTACTTCTCGGAAGCAGAGTTAATACTTAATTCCCCGCGGTAAAAGTTTCGGTAGATAAAGGATAATCTCGGAGTGTATTAAATTCTGTCGAGCGTTGCGTTTTACTCGAAAACTTGTCTGAAATATGGCCGCATAAATATCCGCGCTCTAGAGACGGAGTAACGTTAATCGATAAAGAATTGTCGTCCCTCGTTTGAGGATAGTTTCCGAAGTTTCCGAGTATTCCAGAAAGCCGCGTCTTAAGGAATAATGGCTACTTCTTCCCATGCTCCTTTGTTAACGGTAACGTTACATCTTGTACCGTCCTTTGTGGGAGTTCCCTTTATCTCTTGATTACACGCGCGCTATCAAACTTTTAGCGGCCGCTGCTCTTGTCCCGGCCGACTTTGCAAGTAGACGTCTTGATTTATTTGTGTCCGCGGTCTCCGTGAATAATATAATCTTACAGCGGAGTCTACTAAATAAAGCCTTAACAAAGTGGCCGATTACTTTGTAACGTGCGCCGTGAGTTTCACCGGCGAACGGGAACATTTCCTTTTTGGAACTGTACGTGTTTCCTGAATTACTCTGCTACTCCTAGGAAAATTGTTTGATTGAAATCGTTATCATAGTCGGAGATACCATTCGCATGTATATCAACCGTCTGCGAATTTGTTAAACTTTTATGAAGTCTTCCTGTAAAAGAATTATGCATCTAAGTTTTGAATACCAGGAGAATAGAAAATGATATATTAGACTGTCATTATTTGAATAATTAAATCATTCATTTGCGACATTCGATTTTGAAACGCTAATATTGATACTTTAACTGGAGCTTTAATATGTTTCAACGGTACTGCTCAGTAAGTAGGTGAAAATATTCGTTTGTTCATGTTGCTTTAATCACGTTGAGAATGGCTACTTGTTCCATTTTCGTTGGCATTATTCGTATTATTCTCTGTAACGAGGGGGTTTCCATTTTGGCAACTAACGTTTCGTCACGAGCGCCATTGTTCATTACTAGAATGCGGATATTTACGCCGGTGTAGATGTTTTATGAACTAATTTGCCGCGACTGTGAACGCAAGAAAAAAATGTGTTTGCCCTATTAACCCATTTCCCAGCGAATACAAATAGGGTTAAAAGAAACGCGAGAATTTCAGCGAATTCCGTTGCCTCGCTGTCCAAAGTGATTCGTCGGTTTCCATGCATTTCAACCGATTCAGCACGAAATTTCGGAAAGACGTTTCGGATATTAAATTCGCATTAAATTTATCGCGACCGTGAATCATAGTGCTTTTCCATTATTATGCCTTGAGCGTCGTAAAACGAACGAAACGCTCGTTTCCATGAAACACGTCGCCTATTAATTCCAAAGGCCGCGCCGGACCGCGTCGAAAAAGTTGCCGCGGCGATCGGGAGAAAAAGGGAACAACTTCCAATGGTGTTACATTAATTGCAGCAAAAACTGGATTAGGGATTGCACGCGATTCTAAATAGAATAAAAATCTCGTTAAACTTCGTCAAACACTTCCCTGCGCTGTGCACGCCGCGAACGCGTGACATTGACGTTCTATTCACGACGCGACAATAAGGCTCCGTCCACACTATCGGTCAGCTGTCGATCGAATATCGTTCAATTGTTTACAACGCGTTTGCTCGGACTATTGTTCCGTCCTTTACTTATCGAGGACTATAAGCACTGAAAGAATTTTAACACTAGAACTACTGTACCAGTCAAAACAAGACTGCTTTCAATTTCCTTATTTCGCAATTACCGATACCTTGAAAATATATTTCCACAGTAGTTTTAAAAATAAATACTTTCACCGAGATATGTTTCTTCGGATATTCGTCATACTATTTGAAACTATGTTTAAAATTACTTTGGATATTTCATTTCTGTTTCTTCGGATATTCATTATAATATCTACAATGTCTGCGAAGATTAAATGTCAATAGTATCGAATGCTCGGTAGTTCTATTGTCAAAGAGTGTATGGGTCGAATGATGTGAATCGAGCCTAAAGCGGTCCGAGTTTCCTCTGAAAGGTTCCCCGTTGTTTCAGCTGAAGGGCTACAAGGTAACCGATGTGAACCGCACGCGGAAGTTCGGCGTCGCCTGCAGGAGCCTCCAGGAGCTGAAACGGAAAGCTTGCGCGAAGCTGAACGTGAGTATCGAGCCATCGATTCACGCCCACGCGCGTCCCTAATGCATGGCTTCCCTCTATGAACACGTATACAGGATGTTTCAATGGTGAATCTACACGGGCATCCAGAGTGAAAGTATTATGTCAGTACGCCAAAGAGGAACAGTACAATTTTCTCATGGAAAATTTCATTTTCGATGTTATAAACTTCCACAGTTCATTCGAGGCGCATTGGTATTTTTAAGAAGTGGAAGTGGTAAGTCATGAACAGACATATTAGGAACCTCCATCATCCCGACAGCGAAGTGTCTACGAAACAATTATTCTAGATGTTCTACTTAATTGTTCGGTAATGTGGAACTTCAATCTGAAATTATTCATCTAACTTTAACCCTTTGAACTCTGTAGGCTCCGATATTGCACCAGGAATAATATCAAATATTTTAATGAATCTTCAAGAAACTACCCTAAACTTATTAGATTTTTCACGCATCCAAATTTTGCACTAAGAAAAATAAAAGATCTAAGAAACGTTATAGAATTTCTCATTTTCTCCAGAGATACTATAAAAATTAGCAGTTACTGATAGATTACAAAACCATCTGGAGTGCTAATTAACTTAGCATTTATCTCGCCGATGGAACAATTTCTAACGAAAGTTTCATTCTATTCTTCTCACCGTTGTACTAGGATTGCAGCAGGATTTCGGAAACACCCTGTAAATATACGTGTGTGCGCGCGATCGATCGATCTCGTCTGGCTCGAAGGGCGACGAGCGTTCTCGGCCGATTCGTCCGCGTCGCGATGAAAACCCGTATCGCGGCACCGCCGCTTGCTTTTACATGTTCTAATAAAAGTTGTCCGCCAAAACTGGGTCATAAAAGCCTCGCAGCTGATCCGTGCACGGGCTCCAGTAAAAATTGTAACGCCCTACTCGTCTGTTCCGTTCCATTGTCGCCGGTTCGAGGATTCCGTAACGATCGCGCTCGGTCCCGTCCGCGGGAAATCGCTGGAAACCGACTGGAATCGTTCCGTTCGCGGGAGCACCGGTATTTACGACCCTCTTCTCCTTACGTTCGGTTGCTGTATTGCCTTCGAACATATTTCATTTGCCGAGGAACGAGCTCGAAACGAGCTCCCCTTCGTACCGGGAACAACGAATTTCAAATTGCAGAGTCAGTGGACATTTCAGGAGAGAAATCGTATATAAAAATCGCATCAGCGTCCAATTTGTGACTTATTCGTGTGCATTGCTTCGAGCAAAAGCGATTTCAGTGTCCCCTGCGAACAGTCGGTGCGTCGAATATTTCATTGTTACATAAGAGAATGTACTGCTTCGAACAATCGCCGCAATCGCGAGGAGCATTGCTTTTCTCGATCGACGGATCGATTCAACGAGGAACAAGTGCAGGAAAAGAGAGACCGGCGAGGAGCAATTAGAAAAGATTCGTATTCCGACGAAGTTTCCGACGACATTTCAGACGCGATTGGAAATTGTATCAAAAGGCAGATCGAGGGAACTGCGAGAATCGCGTCTCGAACGGGACCGTGGAGAGCAATCGACGCGACGCTGTTCGAGGTATAAAGACAAATGAATATTAATCATCCGGTGACTGTTCGCTCGGCGAAGATTGGAAGTCAAAGAATACGCACGCTCGGATACGTTCAAAGGCTTTCGGGGAATTCATCGATTCCAGGGGAGACGCGTCTTTGGTACCGAGATCGTTGTTAAGGGAAAACGGTTTTTTTTACGTGATTGAGGACTATTGAGATCAACGATCCGAATGGAGAGAGGCCGGGCAAATTTATTTGAAAAACCTGCGCGTCGCGTGTACGCGTTGCACGAATTATGTCGCTGGCAGAGGATAGCCGTTGACGTTTCCGCCCGTCGATCGCGCGAACGATTTAATCTTTGATTCACCGACGAGCAAACAAACTGGAAAACGTATTTTTGTAATCAACGGGGAACACGCTGGCGGGCAGCGCGACGGTTAATTCATCCGTTACTGTCAGGGCCGACCGCGACTTTATTGGAGCCGCGCTGTGACGAACGGGAAGCCGCTTCATCCATTAATTCAAACAATTAATCCGATCGAATGTTCCTTTAAAGTCGCGGCCGCTTGCCGGCGAAGAAATATCGATAGGATCCTCTATTTTCGCTTCGCTAAATGAAACTTCGTTGGTTCGAATATCATTTATTCCGTTCGACGGTTTTTCTGCCGGTCCCCCCGGTGCAATTATTTCTATCTAATATTCATTCCCGTCGGAAAACAAACGTCACAGCGAACAAAATGGCACGCTTTTTACATCGAACGATATTTGTAAATTTCAATGATTTGCCTTCGATTCGTCGTTCGCGGCGTTTAACAATGCAACGAGCTTCCTGTGCACGCGATTCCTTCCGTTTTTCGGAGCAGCGCTTCCTGCGCCGAGAAATTGTGTAAACGACGTGACGTACCGAGGGGAAGCTATTCGAAAAATCGAGACTTTCACGGTAAATTCGCACGTAGTCGATACGCTTGTACGGTGATCGTTCATTTAGCACCGGCGCGTAATAAAGACCGACGAAATATTGAATTGCGAGTGCTAAAAGTGCTATTGCGTCACTCTCCGCGGAGAATGTCCGTGTTCGAGCCAGGCCGTAAGGTAACAAGCAAATTGCCTAGAAGAAAGGAGGACAAGCAAATGAAATTACAAAACTTGGCCAGCCAAGTATCATCTCGAATATTCATAAAATCGATGCGAAGAACGTCTCCAATCTTCCCCACGCAGCCATTCGAACGGAAGAGAATAAATATCAACCTGCCCCATTTCTAACCGTTTGCCATTCAATTTTTTCCCGCACAGATCCAAACGAACGGCCGTTATGCTATCATCGATATTCAACCCTTTGCACTCCGAAGTTTTTCACTAGAAATATTTCAACATTTTCTGATGAGACGATATTTCGTGAAACCAACTCGACGAGGAATTCACGTGAATCGACGGACAAAGCTATTTTACGTCGATATTTCTTAGATTGATGCATTATATGAAGTATAATATTAAATATCAAACTTTATAGCTTCATTGTAGGAAATCAAGTGGTAACCGAGAGGCACCTTTGGAGTGCAAAGGGTTAACCCCTTGGCGTATTTACTTCCGCTACTTGCTATCAACTATTTGGAAGGAACGCAGCAAAATTTTCCGTTCTACTTGAAGTGGAAATTTCGTTTGTAGATAATAAATTGATAATAAAATAGTGGTTCGTTTCGATCCGTGGGTAACGAATTGTGGGTAACGGCCGCAAGCTGGCAGTCCGCGTCTGAAAAAGTACCGCGGCGACGCGAAGGTTCGCCTAGCCGCGAAAGCACCGTCAGTCTTTCCGCACCGATTAATTAGCCGACTGCGGGACCGAGCTCGCTTCCGGCATAGCAATCGCGGATGCAAATCCGCATGAGGCGGTGGAATCGCGGTCACCCGGGACCCCGCCCGCTTCCGGATTGCCGTGCTTTAAGCACCGAGCCAAGGGAAACGTTTTCTTCGGGGTTCCAGCGATCAACGCGAGCACCGCTCGGGTAAATACGCGCGTGCCGCCTCGTCCCACGATCAAACATCGAGCCAGCTAAGTAAGCGCACACAACGCTAACTCCTGGAATTATTCGAGTAACCTCAACCGTTTGCCAGGTGATTCCCTTGGCAACCCATCACGCCTGATCGATATTATTATCGATAATATAGAAATTCGGAGGAATCTGCGATTCGTTGCAACTGCGACACTTCGAAGCTATGACGAGTGAGACTCGCGATGAAGATAAAACTATTCGATTTTCCGCACATCCAACTTTCGTGCCAAGGAGAATAAAAGATCGAAGAAATGTTGCATTTGTAATTTTCGCTAGGAATCCTATAAAATTAGCAGCTGCTGATGGATTACAAAGCAACCTGGAGTGCTAAGGGTTAAACGTTGCACTAAAATAATAATCCATTGTATTGTACAAGTTATAACTACCATGAATACGAATCTATACACCGTGTCTTTAGAAAAAGCAATTCGCACAAATCAATTTGGAACGGTGTCCACCACTAGGGGCTTGTTAGGGGTTGAAATCGATACGTTCGGTGGCAATTAATTCCCTCGGAGTTTGTTACATCCGATTGGTAGCAAGAAATGTAAGGAACGCGATGGGGTGGGTGGGAAGTAACCCTTCCCTTGGCAGGGTTAATCCGGTTGCGGGCTCGCGACCTTGGAGCCGGATCTCGCGTTCGTCTGCAGCCTCGTGTGCAGCTCTATCGAACCAGCCGGGCCACGGACAAGGAGCAGCCTCCAATGTCAAGGTCGTCCGTCCGCTGGACCGACACCCAGACCTGCCGGCCAAACCTCCCGGCGCGCGAACCCAGCCAAGATTTTTTCGATTTCTTCGATCCCGCAGCTCGGGAGACGGGACACGCGCACCCGATCCCCGTTCATCCCGGCACCCGGGCCAAGTGTGCGCCACGCGGACAATTGATTGCGATGTTCATGCGCGCGCGGTGCCGCTCTGGAGTTGTTGATGATGCGGACTTTCGCTCGTGGAACGCGAGGTCTGACCTTTCATCGCTAAGAATTTTTTTAATACGATTGATTTTCTTGACCTTCCGCTCTGGAATTCGTGCCACGCGCATTTTTGAAAATTGCTGTTGACGTGTTATACATGTTGATAGTCTCATCGCGTTAACCCCTTGGCGTATTATTTACTTTTGCTACTAAGCTCGTGTAATATTTTACAATTTGTAAGAAATATAACAAAATTTTCCATTCTACTTCAGGTGGAAATTTCATTTGAAGATAATACATTGGGAATAGCAAAATAGTTGAATAGCATTGATGTCTATGTAATTGATCAAGGAATAAAGATAAAGATAAATAATAAAGATAAATAATAATAATAATAATATATAATAATAAAGATCTAGGAATCCCCGATTACTCTCAAGGAGTTACATTTCTGGATTCTTGACTTAAATTTGATAGATTCACATTTCCTTTGCGAATCGTCCAATTTTCATATTAGACGCTTCTAACGAACTACTCCTTTGAAATGAATTAATGACACAGATTGCAGTGTACCTGCTTTCATTTCGTTCCATCGACACAACCATTTTTTCCTTTGACAGGCCACTCAAGAAGTTTGAATGAATTTCGAAACTTGTTTTCAACCGATTCGAAACTCCTTGCGTACGCTGCCTTCCGGAAGTGTTCGAGCACTTGCTCGATCAATGAACCTGACGTCTTTAATGAAAAGAAACGCGAATGGATTGAGATTTCGCGCAGCTGAAATTGATGCGCGTACAAAACTATCGAGTGGTGTCCTTCATCTTCTTCTCACCCGTGAATGACGCGAGCGATTAAATATTCACGGACATAGCAGCGTTTTTATTCGGCGAATCGCTGCTCAAAGGAATCGGTCCGCGTATAAACAGTTGCCCAGCTAGAGGAGCTTCGATTTAAAGCGGTCGTACTCGATTGAACGGCGTCAATTTGCGACCGAAGCGAACAAATGGTCCGCGCGCGCGATTCAACCAGCCGGAACCGAGCCCGGGAAAGTAATTCCGAAAGAATTTCCCGCAATTACCAGAACCGGCTAAGTGGACGATAGAATGTTTGCTGGGCAAATATTACAATTACGCGAAAAAGGCTGCGAACGGATACATCGTATCCGTGATTCACGCCCAGTATTTGTCGCGTCGCGAATTCTTCCCTTCGATTAATTAGGCAGCGGCACCGCGCCGGTAATACAATGCGGAAGGAACACGATTGCGACGAATTGACTGCGGGACATTGCGCAAATATGGATTTCTTCGGCCTGATACGCGAACGATCGTATTTGGCAAAAGATGCTTTGTCGCTTTAACATTAGGTTTACGGAACGCGTGAAATTGACGCATATTGGATTTTAGAAATGTTATTTTGTAAATGTTTACGCCGATTTTGATTGATGCGATCACACTGACATGTACCCCAATTACCTACTATCGAATCTCCAGTTTCCACGATCTAAATAAACATCAATTCTTTTAGGAATAATAGAATGAAGTGTACAATAGATGCCCGTAAACCTAGTGTTAAAGATTATATATTGATCTCACTGGTTAAAATTCCAGTGTAGATTCGACTAAGAATTTATCCTACTTTCTGAACGAACATGTTCGTTATCAGTGATATCAGGAAAATTTCGGGAATTTAACTCGAGCATGGGTTTCACGATTTTCAGGTAACCAATGACCTCGCTGAAGTCAATGTCTTCCTACTCGACGGATCGTTGATCGACGAGGAATACTTTTATACGCTGGAGCCGCAAACAACGTTAATCGTTCAGAGGCCTGGCGAGAAAGTCTTAAGCGGTCAGTAGAATTATTACTATTTATTCGTTGAATAAATCCATTAGAATTCATCATTCGTCTATTAATGAAAGATCACGTTTGACGAACGCAGCGTCGACGTTAGTTCATTCAATTACAGCTTAACATGACGCTCTATTTATTTATTCAAGAATATTCGGGAGTCCTTGAAATGTTACCTTTAAATGGTACAATTGTGATACTACAAATAAATATAGAAAAAATTGTTAAAAGGTAGAGGTCGCAATAAAATAGAATGTCGAGTCTGACTCGACGTAGAACTGCTAAGGGTTAACGGCGGAAATAAAATCACGACTGAGATTAGATCACGACTCAGGCGATCGACAACAGAGGTACAAAGACTTGTAAACACTGTTAGCATAATTTTCCAATAAAGAATCCAGAAAAGCTAGAATCTGTCCTTGAAGAATGAATCTTAACTCAGTCAAGTGTGTTTTGAAACAGTGTACAACAACGTGTCGATCTACAGCGTATCAAACGCGGATCGATGTCCGAGATCGATATCTTCGAGTTTCTAAACTGTACATTTACAATTCATGAGTCTCCCCGTTGTGCAAACCGCGACGAGCATTTAAAAAAGGTAAACCCAGATTTCCCGCAAAGGGGAAGATAGCGGAAAGATCATTTTCGGGATAACGTTACCTTTGACGTCACTCTCCGCGCGAGCTTCATTGTCGAGAAGGTGAAACACGATTTGCCCGAGATGTCTGACGTTCACTTTACAGACGCGGACCTCCTGTACGACACCTTGAGGCGCGTCAACATCGATTTCCTGACTGCCGGCGACAAGGCGTCCGAGTTCCTCACGGAAAACCTTAAGGCGAAGGTCGCCATTCTGAATAGCGCACTGAACAAGGACGACTCGAAGACTACGTTCACCAGCAGAGACGAGCACCCGGACTGGTTCCGCGGTCTGGAAACCAACTATACGACCAAAGTGAGTTTTGTTCTCATGCGTCGATTCTTGCGTCAGCTTTCTCATGATTTTCAGGGGCCCCGATAATTTTTGAATAATCGACTTCGCACTTATTCCGTTTCAATTGTGGTGCGATGCATAAATTTCCAATAATTGGGAAATTGGAAATGCAGTTTTAAGCCTCGATGTAATGATTTTAGTTTAAATTGCAGTTTAATTACGATTAACTGCGTTAGTAATCGGTAAGGATTTATAGTACGTGATCGTTTAGATAGAATTCGGATTCTGTGAGATTGAAAATGCAGCTTTCGATTCGATTGCGAGTTACTAGTTAAATACTTATTATAGTTAGCACTTAATTAGGATTCTGATAATAGCTGGAATTCTTTCGTTGAATACTGAACCACATTTTGCGGGGAAGAGTGAGACTACCGACGAATGCAAGAGTGCCCGGGGCCTACGGAAACCTCAATGCAGCCCGCATGCGCGGACTAGTTTTCACGCTTTGTTTTGTATTGCAATTCGTTACTACGTGTACGACAAAATGTCCTCATTCACGTGAACCGTCGAAAGTTCCCCTCGTAATTGAGGGATCTCCCGATCCCTCCGGTTTTCGCGGAGGGATTGAAATTGTTGAAGGTAAAGGAACAAATTTAATTTTAATTTCCTGCGGCAGCCGAGCAACGTAATTCCGAAAGAAAATATTAGTCCAACTAGGACACGATCGCTCGAATAAGCCGCTGAAGTTTGGCCACATAATTTAGCAGCGTTCCGAACGTCGGAACCCGAGAGCAGAATGCAGCGAAAGATCTTAAGGAAGTGTCACGATTAAGCTATTCCCGCTAAATGAAGGACGCCCATAAATTAACTTACTATAAACTCCCGGTGATCAAGGTTAGGGAGTGCCTTATTTTACACCTTTCAAGCGTTTATTTAAAAAATGATCCTCTGGCGCAGATTCTGTCAAGGATCCCATTCGCCTGGCGAAAGATGCGATTTTACCTGCGTAATTTGTCGTTTCTCGTTCGATTCGGATAAACAGGATAACGATGAATTCGAGTAATTAGTTGACGCAGATATTTAATCAACGGAATTGGAATAACGTCCGACGCTGATGGGAAGCAATGAGCGTCTCTGCGAGAGGCGTCTGCAGGTAACCCGTTTATCTGAAATTATTTAAACACGCGACATCACTAGACACTCTAGGTCGACAGTGTAATGCAATTTAATGAGGGCGAATCTCCCTCGCGTCGTCCAATATCGCTCAGGCTAATTAACGTTACAACGCCTCCACTTTAATTTCACTGTGCCGGCGATTTATCGCGCGTCAAGTTTCAGCCCGGAATCTCGACCCCTCGGTCTAAGGCTCCCACGGAATAATTAATTAGTTCGTTATCGCTGTCTCTGCGGCAAATAGCGGGCTCGCGTGAGATCCTGTTTTTCACTCGCGATCCTCGAATGCCTGCCCGTCTAATGCCTGCCGTACGTCCGCCTGGAATTCCAGACATCCGACTAGCAACTATCTTATCAATGAAAACAACGTTGCGTCTGGGTAATTTTCTGTTCGACCACGATTTCTCTAGAAAAATGGAATATATCTAATTAAATATTCATTTAAAAGCTACTTTTCCAACGACAGTTTTTCCAGTGTTTTATAAAGTTTCGACTTGTAAGACAGAGATGATTATATTTATAGATCGTGAAATTTTGGACGATGAGTAGAATGTTTTTCTTTTTAATTATTCCGCGCTGAGATGCACCGTGCGCAATAAAATATTCAGCTCTGGTGTGAATATTTAAATTACTGAAAGATATTTAAATACTTCTGAGAAACGGACTATGTAGTAGAAAAATTTATAATCGAGTTCACGTCTATAGAATGAAATATTAGTCTCCTAATTCATCGAATCATTATACGCGTTCCCTTCCCACGAGCGATGTTGTTGTTGCTTCAGGACGGAGCGAACGGCGTCTCATTGGCTCGATATTTACATAAACATTTTGCTTAGCTAATAAGACGAGCCGTTGCGCAATCGTCGATTATTCAAAGAAATACCGAAGTATCGCCTTACTTTCCGTGGTTACGCAAAGAAGAGTTCTATCCGTTTGCTACGAAATTCTTCGGATTTATGTCGGCGTTTAGTCGTGTTTCACGCGTAGTGCAGAGAGGCTGCTTCGAACAGAAACATTTGAGTTTCTCAATGTATTTCATTAAACCTCAGCAGTTTATTCCTCTAATCTATGTTCTCGGCGAACAATAAATAAACAGGAACCGTGTTAAACCTCGACGGACATGGTATTTTACATTCCAAAGGTATTCGGATAATTTGAAGTTTGAGCAAACTCTATTTCGACGGAGGTTCAGCTGACATGCTTGTATTATCAGCTTTCTTTGCTCTGTTTATCAGTTTCCGTAGATACGAGGAGCAAGCTGCTGGACAGCAGATAGCGCGAGGTCGAAAAAATGATGGATACAACGGATATTCCTCGATCACCGGAGTAATCCTTCCATCTCCATCAGGAAATCCCTGTTTTCCGCGAGTCCCTCGGCCAATCTTCCGTTCGATATATCTCTGGCCCTAATACCAAACATCCTCGCGTCTAAGGGAGGGATCAGCTAGCTGGCTTTGCCGGTGAAATACGCGGCCTACCTTCCCCTTTCGACCTTCTCCCCTTTTTTACGATCATCATCGGGATCAGCGTGTCCGCCTCCCTCGCCAGTAAACATTTTCACTCGGATATCCCGATGGTTCCTGCCTCTTCTTCGTGGATCGAAGAGTCGCACCGTTGCACAGACAAATTTCAAGCCATTATATATTGGTCTTTAAGTCTTCGTCAATAGGCGGGCTATTCCAGCGAACAATAACTACAATTCCCCGCACGATTTGTCGAAAACAATAGCTCTGCCCCGCGTTGCTTCCGGCGAATCGTATTCGTCCGTGTGCTGACCTATTTCGATTAGCTCGCTAATAATTGCATCAACCGTTCGTTGCTCGGAACAAGTCCCGTCATCAACTCGCGGAGCTGGGGACCTTGAAATGCTCCGTGAGTACGTGGACCGATTAATCTCTCTAATAACAGTAAATCCTGATATTTATCAACGGCTTCGCGGGATTCTCTCGAGAACCTCGGAAACCAGGATTCCAAAAGTATTCTGCAAACTTTTCCAGCGAGCTCTAAATTTTCATAAAATAAAATAGAATAATACTTCAAACACTCCTTTGTATTACTAGCGAAGTTTAATTCGAATCGAGTCTAATGAAACTCCATAAATCTCAACTTTTCTCTCGCCTGTTCATAATAGACCAACAAATCGTTTCCAACGGCTCAAATCATTCTTATAGAATTGTTTCTCCGCAGGAGGCGTACCTGCACCGCAGGTGCCAAGACAGGATACGCAGCTACCTGTACAAGACGATCGACCAGATCAAGTCGTCGGAGACGTTCGCGAACGATCAACGCGCGAAGAAGCAGCTGCTGTACGCCATAGCCTTCTTCAAGATGCAGCTGAAGGAGGACCACTACTTCGGCCACTACTTCGATAGAACGCGGGCGCCGATCAGTTCGACGCAATCCGTCGACGAACGGGACTCGCCGACCTGCTACGATCATTGCCCCTGCAGGCTGAGCCGCCTCGAGGACAGCGCGTACTACCGATTGTTCGGGACCACCGATCTGTCCTGCGTGGACGGAACAGCGAAGAAGAAGGCGAAACTGAATCCCAGGTCGGAGGAGGAGGAGGTCGAGGACAACTGCCCTTACGAGGTCCGGACGAAGGAGAGGCAACCGTGCGTCGCGATGTGCGACGGTAAAGGGGAGTTCAGATGCGGCGGCGTCTGGTATGCGGACAGCTGCGCTTACGGGGAGAGGCACAAAATCAACCCTTACAGATCGAGGGAGGAGCTCATCCTGTTCTCCACGTGGAATTTCGATCACAAGTGAGGATTTTATTGGGAATTCCCGCGGCGGCATTAAGACATTCTTCGTTCCGTGCGGAGACATTCTGAAGTTTGACGTTTGATATTCAATTTCGCATGATGCTAAGGCTATTGTGATAATATATTTTTCTTTACTTAGAATTTAGAAGTTTGTTTAAGTTAGGGAAGTTTCAGGTACACAGGGTTGAATGAAGAACTGCTGGTAATTAACTCTAGATTTGAGTAGTTATAGAAAACTGTGTGTTCGTTTATATAGATCTAAAGAATTGTAGCTTGAAAGCTAGAGTATTATGCATTCGCTTAATTGAACGAGTCAAAATTCACTTAAACTGCTGTTGGATATTTAAAAAATTCAGTATCCGTCAAATTGACGGGTTCCATGAATCCAGCGTTAATAAATGTAGACTCGTTAATAATATAGTTCAACTTGATAGGACTTTTATACGAAGATCGAGTACTATTTCGTACGATTTCCAGGATCGAGAGGTCCAGGACATTGATACCGCAGCTGCTGCAACTGTCGTCGCAGGATGTCGCCAAAGAAGAGGACATATTCGAGCTTTACGACAATCTGTTCACAATGAAGAACCTGAGGCTGGTGCATATCGTGTGCCACGACAAGGGCTCGCACAAATAAATCTCCCCGGGCACAAGGAATCGACGAGAAAGGGATCGCGGCGACTCCACTTCAATATACGTAACACGTAGACCGATCTCTGAACGTGAATGTAACTCTTCGTACGGGAACTCACCCTATCTGTAAACGCTGTTGATAGTTGGATAGATTTAAGAGTTCGTTAAATGTCGCATCCGGCGTCATTCCGTTGCGCTGTTAAATAACAAAGCAATATCGTTTCTTCCTTGGAGGATTCACCGGAGTCCCGAATCGAAGGCAGAACTTTCCTACCGTCTAGCTGTCGATTTTCAATTTGATATACGTTTCTTAGCCCTTTCCACGTTCAATACCGCAACCTGTACACGCACAATGCAGACTATATCCGAGGACGTACGTTTGAATTTCATCTCGGTCGATAAGATAGATTGCTGCACGAACCGTAAGGTTCACGAGACCTCGTAGCACGTTGTCCGTCCTGCTGGGATACATTCGGTTCTCCATCTTCACAGGGATCGAACCCTCTACTTATTAATATCTGTATTGTACTGTTTGTATTTTACGCACCACGTAGAATAAGGTTGAACAATGATGCGAGATGTTGATCGGTGAATATTCCGCGAGGGACAACGTGTTGTAGATACTTTGCGTAATTCCTAATCGAAGTCCAGTGGAGCTCCATTTATCCAAATCTGTCGAATCGAAAGACAGTTTAAGCTATTCGTGTAACTGCATTTATACTTGTACATATAATTTATTGTTAACGCCCTTTATCAACCGTTTACGTCCTAGAAAAGTGTTTTAAATCACCGCTTTCACTGTACTATGAAATTTTCCTAACTACAGGTTTCAGCATAGATTTTCCGAATAACGAGCATCTCTATGAATATATTCTGCCCGAATGAACAATATATATCTAGAAGATCGCAGCAAAGTTCTGTTGGATAAATGGATCGCTACTGTCTCTAAAAAATCTCGAATCCACCTCGAAGCGCGCGCGAAACCGCTGCTTCGTTCTCGGCGCGGAAAGTGATCGTCCTTCGACAGAAAGATCTGAATTTGTCGTACAGGGTTGTGCGCAACGGAATGAACGCGGATTACAGAGTTTATCGGAAGGATCGTTGCGAACAGACTGGCACGTCCGAGGCTGTGTCCGACGATGACGTTGACGACGACGACGACGACGGTGACGACTCGGCTCCCGGCCGAGCTAACACGTATCTTTAGAAAGTGTACTCCATAGAAATCTTTCGAGTATTTTTGAATCCGACTGGTCGACCGAAGACAAAACCAAAGTTCTGATATATACATATATACATAAATATATATACATATACATATTCGTTATGAGATTTAGAGACAGAGAGAATATATATATACATATATATATATATATACAAATACATACGCGTACAGGAAGAGTCAGTCGTGTCTCGTTACAGGTTCGAAACATTATGGTCTCACCGGCGAAACGAGTTTTCAGAAGAAGCTTTTACATAATTAATATAGTACCGGCTTTCGATTTTTTCGCAAGGTTATGTAATTTATATGCCTCTAGTTTGGATCAAGGTGAACGTTCAAGGTCGTCGATGAACAGCCGCCGGAACACACGATTTAAACAAGGCGGGGGACGGGATCTGTCCTGTCCCGAGAATCAACGATATTTTAGGTAGACGTAACTCGCTTCGTCAGTTTCCGCGATGCTAATCGATGAATTCGTTAACGAGCAGCTAGGGACCGTGACTTTTAAAGAAACACGAGTTCGAGGGGCATTTTTCGTAACTCTGTCCTTGAAAGTTCGTCGTCTTCAAATAGGAAAGAACTATCTCATTGTTATTTGCTGTATACTATATATTTGCTACGTTTGATTTATGCGAACGAATTGTAACCAGGTGACTGACTCGTCCTGTGCCCACGTACATATGAACTATGAATATATACGGTGATATATACACATATACAATGAAGTTATAAGATGTTTTAGAGACTTCCGCGATATATCTGAAGCGGTGCTTCCTCCGGCATAGGGGAAGTTCGACGGAAGGACTCGACTCGAATTGTGTCTTTTTGATAATTCTCCTTTTGATATGATTTCGACTGGTCCGCGTTCGCCAGGACGCGACGCGACTCTTCCCTTCCGCGAGGCTCGCCTCGCCGGGGAACGAGGCATCGCCGATTCGACTCACTTTTTATAACGTCTAGACTGCTCTTTCGACGGGGTAGGTGACGAGGGAATAACGATTACGATTGGTGATTGTTGTAGTCAACCCCCGGATGAGACAGTCTTTGGTTCGGGGTTCGTCTTCGGAGAGCGTTACGATTTTAATAAAATCTCAGTTCCTTGTATCGTGTACGCGAGAACACTCAAGTGTGGGTTAAGCTGAAATCGGTATTAGGTTATTCGTAATTAGTAATATATAATGATATCAATAAAGTAATCAGTATTAAGAGTAATCGATCAATGTCACTGTAACGATAGAAAGTTCTGCTGGTTAATTCATGGGTAATCGAACAACAATAGCGTAAGGGAGGTGTAAAAGCATTTCTCGGAAGTGAAACTACTTGGACAACGAGTGTCTCGTCCGGGGGCAGGTGGAGTTCTCAGTAGATTCAGTTGAGTATCGCGACATTTAGTTCGATCGAGCTTCGCGCGTGTCGACGCAGACTGAACTCTGTGATGTGAACTGTATCGCGTGTAAGTTTGTCACTTAGAAACTTGATTGTCTTTTGGCTTCAGTAGCGACCTCATTACGGAAATGTCACGGTGGAACTTTGGTTAACCGGATGACGGACAGATCGTGTAGATCGAACCCGGTTAATCGAGGTCCTGCTATTATACAGGGTGCATCAAGATCCCGCATTCTTTCAGCTAGCTAGCAATTCGCTTCGACGGAGAGATACTGTCTCGTCCGATGACGAGATGCCCGGGGATCAGGGAAATCGATGAACATCGATGAGCATTCGATATCTTTCCTTTCAAGTGTCCACGTGGTTAGAACTTGTGTCTCAAATTACTTAGACGAGCATCGAACTCGAAGAGCCTTGAGCGGCTTCCAAATCGGGAAAGATTGAGCAGTTTCGATCGACGCGGTATATTCGAGAGTCTCGAAGGTCTTGGACGTCTTTGAATATTCAAGTAGTTTGAAATTGAATATGATTATTAATTACGACACTTTTATCGCTTCGTATTTCTTCCGAGTCCTAAGACTTTCGAGACTCTCCGCTCGGACTCCAGTCGATTCGGAACTTTCACGACCTCCGAACCGCGGTCGCGACAGTATCGTCCGTCGATGGCGCTCCGCGGGGAATCCCGGCTTTATCAGCAGCTGGAAAGCTCGCTGCCGCGAGACCCATTGATTTCTGCGACGAGCTTCGAATTATTTTAAGGGTGCCGGACTCGGCGCCGCGCTGCGCTCCCAGCTAATTCTAAAACTGAGACGAAATCAAACGAACAAACGCGAATCAAAACACGATAGACACGAAACGATTATCGCGTGAGCGGTTCGTTTTGAAAACAGCGCGAGTCGAGTCAGAGAAAAACCGGATGAAGTCTCCGTCGCGGAGAGATCGAGAAGAATACGAAGACGAAGCGAACGCTGCGCCATTTTCGAAGCGAACAGTTCGCGCGATGTGAACAAGTATGAATCGTACTCGAGTACGATTTAGGGGACACCCGCTAGTGACGTGATATATACATAATCGAAAACCAAAGATAAGAGAGGAATATTTTTGTGAAATTACGCGCGGCCAAAGAATCCCGAACCGATGCGGCGATCGTCCTTGCCGCGGCGCGGCAAGGGAACTGCATAACGTATGCAATACTTCCTCGTAGGCTACAGTGTAAGCATAGTTATTTTTCAATGTAAAACGACTGTGTAGCTGTACACGTTAGGCAAATACATATATATACATATATTTTAGGTACGAGACAGAGAGAGAAAAGGTGAAAAAGAGAGGCTGAAAGAGAAGAGAGAAGAAGACTTGTATTTTCTTTCGCTCGCCCCCCGCTCCCCGTCTCTCCCCTGCCGCGCAAATGACGTGCGCGAGAATTAACTGCGCCCGGTTAATTACCGGTCGTGTTGGAGCGCAGGTCAGAGCTCGTTTGTTACTTTTCGCGTTCGCCGGCTTCGGGAGTTGAAAAGGCGCGGATCGATCGAACGTCCGTCCTAAAAATGTTCGATTAATTATTTATATTAGCGTATCCTCCGCCGAACGCGAACGGAGTTTCGAATATCGATCATTATCCGCCGCTCGCCGCGTCGAGTCCTTTTATTCGTTTACCCGAGCAACGCCGCGAAACCGCCGCGCGACTAACAAGACACGCAACGCGTAACGACCGATACAAATACTTCGAATAACGAAGGAACAATTATTCGAACGAAATTTCGAGTTCGTTACTCGCGTTTTTTGCTCGCGGCCCGAATGAAATTTCGCTCGGCCCCCGAGCGACAAGCATTTCCGCTGTTATTCCGACCGGCCGTTTTTCAATTACGACCGCAGAAACGTCCGTGTAACCGATAATTAAACGAGACGCGATCGCGAGAATTTATGTCGGGCCGGCCGAACGAACGAACGAACGGTTGATTCGAGGAACAATGTAATTTCATTAACCTATCCGAAAGTGCTTCCGCGGCGTCGCGTCGGAATTAAACCGAATGGATTTCTGTATTTTTCCGCGATCGCGGATTTAAATAGTTCCCGTTCGCAGCGCCGTTCCCTCGTTCGACTTCGAATCGATCGCGACCTGGTCGACTGCGCGTCGAAATATCTACCGCGATCTAAAAATTATTCGGAATGATCGGATATCTCTGAAAGTCGATAACAGGAAAAGATCGTCGAGAAATAGAATGTTTTCCTCTGTATAATTGCGAAGACCGATGTAGCTGTGAAGATAATTAACAGCTGCGTCTGTTACACAGAAGTCCGCGTCGAGAGGTTAATCGAATCGCAGCGGCGGGCTCGCAGCGCGTCCCTTCTTTCGCCTCCGTCTCTTTATACTTCCGGCGGCGTTCGGCATCGGCTGCGCCGCGCAAACTTTTCGCGAACGACGTTACGAAAACCTCCATTAACAACGATATTGTTCAAGTTCCGCGCGCCCGTTGCCGTTTTACTGCCTCTCGCCGCGCTATTCCCTTCTCCTATTGGCGGCTCGATAATTAATCGTAATTACGCTCCGAGCGTCGACGCAAAATTACGGCAACCCGTCGCGTCGCCTTCGTCGACCGTCGTTGTTGATAAATTTTAATAGACCGTAGAAAGTTCGCCGAGATAAAAGCGCGAGCGGGAGTCGAGAAGCAACGTTCGACGGTTGAGACCGAGTCCTGCGACAGATTTCGATTTCGACGCGGACTTTTTTCCCGAAAATATCCGAGGTTTTCCGGCTGAACGAGCCGTCTCTTCGAGGATCGAATTAAGCCGACGTTGTACCGACAGACGCGCGCGCTCTTTTGCGCAGCCGAGCGGCACGATAATGGGTCAATTTCGGATTCACTGAGCAGTCTGAATGAATCTTAAACTCTGTTGATCCCGTCCTCCTCGCCCTGTCCCCGCCCCTCGATCGAGATCCCATTCAGCTGGCTACAATCGAGATTATTTCCAGTTTTTCCGCGGTTTCCTATTGGCCCGCCGCTGGCTGACTGACTGACTGCCGTCGGAAAAGTCACCGCTCGGAACAGAGATTAACGGGAACGAAAGCGCGGAGATTAAACGACCGTCTGTCTCTCGGCCCTTTAGCCCATGCCGCGGAACTTTTATCGTTGTATATTTTTTAACGTTATCTCGCCAGTACGATTTCTCGCTCGCCCCTCCGCTCAAAGTGAATCAGACCCTTGAATTAACAATCGGATTCGTGCTTTCATAGGAATTCGACTGTCGGGCTTTCCAGCTGGTCTATTACTTTCAACGTGGGACGAAGAGCTTTCGGAAAATTGACTTTCCCGTTGTCTTCTCCCCCGAGCGAAGTGAAATTTCGATTGCTAGGATTCTTGGAGTTTCATTTCCGAACTTACGATAATATCGATTAATTAAAATATAGGTTAACGAAGCTTTTAGATAACTTACTAACGAAATGAAAATGAAAATTGCAGCTGCATATAGTATAATTCTAATGGTATGAATAATTAGGATGCAAATTGGTGGAGCACTTCGAAGAATTTAGTTTGAAATTCTTAGATATTAATTATTCATTGGCAAATGAAAATTTAGTGATCCGGAGTGATATTGTTAAGCGAATTCAGGGAGGCCGTGTCCTCGTTGAAACGCCGGAAACGTCGCGGTGCGAGCTGCCAAAAATTGTCAGCTGGCGAATTCGCCCGCGATTGTCAGACCACCCAGGACTCGTCGATCGGGCCGAGAATAAATTTTCGTTTCACGTGTCGCTGGCTTTTCGCGGCTGAACGATTCTCCATGGGTGACCCCTCGAACTGAAAATTACCCCGCAATATGTTGCCAATCGTAACGAGCCGAAAATCGATACAAGAAGGAGCACCGGCTCCAAGAGCTTTCGCCCCTTCCGAAATTACAGACTTACCGCCCCGCCATTAAGCGGCCTCGAGGTCATTCCGCAATGTCAGAGTTTATTGGGGCCAAGCTCGATGTGTTCCCGAGTACTAAACGCGATTGCGATTCGACGGATAGCCGCACAAGCGGCCCATAATTGGTAATCTGTTAACGTTCGCCGATCGACGGGCTGGCATCCATAAAAATCCCCCGAAATTGGGCCGATTTATTCGATGAAACGAGAATTGAAGTATCTGGTGCATATCATATTGATTATTCTTCGGGGAATCCTGGGAATTTCGGCTCGCGCATCCTAATGAAATATCATTGACCCGATATCCCGTCGTCGAAGTTATTTTTTTTACTTTCAACGAAGTGCTAAGCTATTCGAGCACGCGTCCGTTGAGCAATCGATGGACACTGCTCCGAGGTATTAAGGATATTCAAGGATATCGGACAATTTGCCGATCGAATTAGTCTTTTTCGAAGACTCGCGTGTTTTTAATCCCGCAGTGCCACGAGGAAATCATTTCCGTTCGATCGACGAATGCCTGGAGCACCGTTCGCGTGACCGAGTGCGCCATCATTTCGGGAAACAAAAAGTATGGAAAATGATGGACAGAAAGAACGCCAGCGTTCGAAAGTTTAGATTCACTTGACGAGTTGATGAAAACAGAGACACGCTTGTTAATACTTTCGCTGTTACTGACGCGCGTGTTGCGTTTTTGTTGTCATCGAATACTCGTTGTTTCGGTGACGTATCTGGTTTCGTTTATTCATTGAATTTTGTCACATGCGTCGACCAAATAATAGTTCGTAACAAACTAGTTTCTCCAATATTTTGATGATAGCAAAGGTATTCAGGAAAAAAGTATAGTAACTTCTGAAAGAAAATTGCAGTGATTCCAAAAAGAAGAAATAGATTAATTTGATTAAACCGAATGTTGCTTCAGCTAAAAATTAACAAACTCGTGGAACTAATATTTTAATATTTTCGAACTGTCCGCGAGAATTTCCAAATTTCTTTAATAATAGCGGCAGCATTTTCCTGCCTCGGCGGAGACGCACGGTCGCTTTGTTAGCTATTACTCCGCGCGGCGCTGTGTATGTTATAATATCAACCACTCGCAGAGGCGAAGTGCTTATTTTAAAACCCTGCGAGGAAACAAAAATTTTCCTTGGAAGGTATTCCTCCTTTCCAGAAGCAATAAACAGCAGATGGCAACAAAAGGGTGCGCGATGTTCCTCTGGTGAATACACAAAGGGTTTCGACAGAACTCTCGCTCGCATTATTCACGCGAAATTGCTGCCTTTTCAATGTGTGCGATGTGTATCGCGAAACCAGTCTTCGCTGACCCATAAACGAACACATGAAAAAAAATTGTAATTTACAAAAGCGATTGTTACAAACAGCGCCCGAGAGTATTAACAGACCGCTACGCGCATCTCGCACGCCACAATAAGCACAACGTGGGTTGCAGAGTTTGTTCAAAATAAATCAGCTCCGCGCTGAAAAAAGTTTATTAAAAACGACAACAAAGTTCTAGGAAACGGTACGCGGAAAACGTCACGAGTGCTGGTTTTTTCGAATTTGCTCCGCGCGTACCTCGGTCCTCCATATTACATTACTTCGCGAATATCATTCTACTTTCAGCTGGATTGTATTCAGTATTAAACCTTTGACCTCTGTCGCCACTTCATTTGATACAGCAAAATTATGAAGTTTGATATTTAATATTGAACTTTGCATGACGCGTCGCTACGTGGAATATGAATTATCAATTTAGTTTCAAGAAACATCGTCTACATCTCAGCAGAAAACGTTGACAGTTTCTAATCGAAAACTTTCGAGTGCAAAAGGTTGATACTAATGTCTGCTTTCAATCGTTGCTGCAATCCAATAGAAATTACAATCGCGGCTCGACGAGTCGCGACAAATAACACTATCTAATCGCGTAATTCGCGATCGCTGCTCAAAAGAAACCGATTGAAGCGTTAACAGGCTCCCCGCGGGGAAAGTGATAACAGCGATCGCGCCGCGAACCGCTCCGCAGTTTAATCTCCCCGCCACTTGATCGTCGCAGAACCTCGAGTCTCGAGTGGAACAGGGACACGACGAATCGCGTCGAAGAAGAATCTCTCGCGGAAGTTAAAGTCCGTCTCGGGAGAGACGACCGAAAAGCGGCAAACGGCTTCGTCGTCTTTCGCGGGGAAGAATCGTCGAGCGGAGAGAGACATTGATAGGTCAAGTTCCACTTGAAAATGGTATTAATTAAAAGATAGAAAATTAAAAGATTATCTTAACTGTCGCAAAACGTTGAATATTTCTAGCGAAAAACTTCCGAGAGCAAGGGGTCAATTCATCTTCCTCGCTTCGAGGACAATTTTCTCTCAGATTATCGGTATAAAACGTTTCATTTCAGATTATCAAGACTGTAAGACGTTCAAACAGTATCTAAAATATT